GGGTCCCCGGACTGAGTGTCTTTACAGGGACGGCGTTCGCGAAGGACGGCGGAGAGAGAGAGAGAGAGAGAGAGAGAGAGAGAGCCCCTCACGTTCGAGAGCGCCCCGACGAGGCCGCCGCTGGGGTCCAGCGCGTCCAGGAAGTCCCGGTAGAACCTCATCTTGGCCCGGCCCTCGCGGATGGACAGCGCCCCGACGCCGCGGAAAGTGAAGAGGACCCGGCGCCGGCAGGCCAGGGCGCGGGACAGCACCAGCAGGGTCTCCCGCACGCAGCCCTCCACCGTGTCCCGGTCGAACGGGCTCTCCAGGGACAGCGCCGTGAAGTTGAGAGGGACCACCGGCACGTCGCCTAGAGGCGGGAGGGAGGAGGTCAGGGAGCTCCCCGCACCGCAGAGGTGTCCTAAGTGTCAAAGGACCGACCGCGGCGAGGAAGACGTCTCCCCGCAACTTGCTTTACTGCGCACACTTAACCCTGCGCAGGGTTAAGTGTGCTGTCCAGGGTTGGTTTTTGGTGTCCCTAGGTCCTTTCACGCCAAAATGTGCAAAAAGAAGGGTAAACGCCAGCTGAATGACGTCAATCGACATGAGGCGCTTTAAACTTCTCCTGCATACACAATACACGTGATTGATGGAGACCATCACTTCGATACCTCTAGTTTCTAGTACAGCCGCTAGAGGCGTCTGGTTATTGATCTGGAGCGCCTAGAGAGTCGATCGCAAGCACGTTGTTTCAGCTCGTTTTGCGTGAGTTCCTAGCGTTTCCCTCCTTCGTAGGCCCTGGCACTGGCGCTGACCATCAATCAGCTAAGGACAAAGACACGTCCCAGGCTTTCGCCCCCGGAAAACCAGCCTCACCCCCAGCTCTGCCCCCCTGTCAGGGGGCAAAACCGGGTCACGTACGACTCCCACCTGCCGCGAGAGGCTTGGTGTGCTTCAGCCCATGGGTCTGGGACAGTTTTTCAGACAGCAGAAACACGGGCCGTTGGTTTAAAAGGACCTTATTCCCCACGTCGTGTCTCTGCTGGGAAAATGTGAAGGTTCCTAGCCCAGGGATATGAACCCCCTACAAAGCAAAAGGGACAGAAAAAGGACATCCTGTTAAACAGAATCAGGAACCGTGCTAGTGAGAAAATCTGAACAACCTGTCTTTTATCGCTGCACTTAATTTTAAAAGTCTCTGGTTGTCATTATAGCCTTTTATATTTTTCCTCTTTTTTCTCCACATTTATAAGAACAATGCAAGACAATACAGCAATCTGTTTTCACACACGCGACATAACTGATTGTTGGATGTGTTCAAACGAAACAGCCAAGGAACACATTCACAGAGAGATTTTTATTTTTAAAATAAGAAGACAATCTTTTTACTGAACATGGAACTGACATTCACGAGGTCTGTGTTCTGGGTTTGTCTATAAACGCATACACAGGGTGCTCATGAAGCAGCTGATCTGTACAGTGGAGCAGTAAGCTTCTGTACAAATCTGGATGAGCTCAGCGGTGGCGATTAAAAACATCTGGGTTTAGATCATTTTCATCATGCCAGGGAAAATGCGGAAATGTCCCTCTTGCTCCTTTGAAAGGAAACGAAATGATTGTAATGTACAACAGTGCAGCTGGTGCTTTACTATTTGCGTCCTGTATTGACGGAATTCATACAGGACATCTGTGAAGCAGACAATCGGATGAACGCTATACTGTAAATGGAGATTTGAAGCTGAAGCTGTTAATTGCAGAATGCAGAGCATGGCGAGTGTCACTTGAAGAGCACTTTTCACAGATCAAGGGTTAGAAGTGCTACAGATAAAAAAATACCAATAAAGATGCTACAACAAAACTTAAGCTTTTGACAATAATGCGCATGCTGCTACAGTATATATTATCTAAACTACTATATGATTATATTACTATATAATGACTAACTACTAATTACTATAGTTCTTATATAATATGTTATTATATTATACTATATATATCACGGAGTAGTCAGGATCTTTTACAGTTAAGCATCCCCAACAGCAGTTTTCCCGATCAAAATACATGTGCAGCGGATTTTGAAGGTAAGGGCGCCACCTACTGGTGCACTACCATTTACAGCAGCAACTCATTTCTTCTTAAAGGTCTCCAATCCCAGTACAGTACTAACCAGGCATAGCCTTAAGCCTTAAGCATTAGCATTAGCGGACACTGTATATATACACAAACCTACTACTAATCCTAAATAATCATCGCAAATCAAATACATTAATCAGAAATAGTGCGATGGATTATCAATTGCATGCATAATTACATCACAAATTAAAATTGCCATCGAAACAATAGGTTTATTCCACGCTAAAAAGAGAAAAAAGAAAACAAAACGTTTCGGCTGTGGAGCCTTGTTCGAATGCAAGAGGAGTCTTACACCTGAAGAAGGCTCCACAGCCGAAACGTTGTGTTTTCTTTCTTCTCTTTTCAGCGTGGAATAAACCTATTACTTGTTCCTTTGCAGCCCAAGCATGCTGACGTAGCTACCCACCTGAACTACAATTGTCATTCGCATTAAATATATTTGTATTGTCACTGGCACTGAAACAACTGAAATGTCGGACAGACACGAAGCTCATGTTCTGCTAAAATACCTGTTATGTCTACAGAATATAGCTGCAATATTCCCCCTAAACATTACAGATCGGGAAAAGCCTAGAGAAGTGACTGAAGGCTAGTTTTCTACTGGGAATTCGTCAACGCTGCCCGGTTCCTCAGTGCGAAACTATTTCAGCTGGTAAATACCTGAAAATGATATTGAAAATTCGTTAAACCTGGAATAATCTGTAAACAGGTTGTGAAGGGTCGCGTTCGGGTCAGGTTCAAAATTCAGTTTGAGCATGTGGTAAAACAGTTTATGTCAGTGTTAATAAGTCGAACTTGAAATAAAAATGTACGGTTTTCTTCTTTAAATACAACGACACCCTATAATTAGTGTCACTTTCAGCTGAAGGTTAGTTTTGAAATGTGCTCGGTGCTTCGGGCTGTCTGTCCATTGGGAGAAGCGCATTATCGCTGGGGACAGGTGGGTCACCTCGATGTGCTGTCCCTCAGAGTAAATTTAAAGAGATTTTTTTTACCTTTTGGAGAGACATCTGCCGCTCAACAAACGCAGAAACATTTGTCCAAACGCCTTCGACGTCTGAAAATCAAAGTGCAAATGGGAAACCAAAATATACGTGAATGCATTTAAAATAAAACTGGTTGGCGGTACCTCTACATACTGTCATGCAAGTTATGCAAATGTTGCTTCATCCCTATTTCAGGGTTTTAAAAATCGTTAGGACCTGTTTGAAATGGACTGTGCAACCTCTCTTGTACCTCTGCACTTACATTAAATGTTTGAAAATAGTTTGCACCCGATCTCTCTTATTAATCCCCACAGTTTATCGATGAAAATACCGTAAAAATGTTCCAAGTCAATTTTTCGATACTTCAGAAAAGGCATTTAGTTTCTAGAGGTTTTTTATTTAAAGAATCACTCTGAAAACAAGACGTGCTTTACGCCGACAATCATCATTTATGTCCAGTGTGGACTGGCTTTTCCCCACTTACCATTCTCTGAAAGTTTCGAGAGTGTCGGGAACAAACTCCTCTCTCCATCTGAGACCACCGACAGAAGGATGTCGGTCATGACGAAATGGCAGAATTTTTATTTAAAAAAAAAAAGATTTTGCTCAGAAAGCCACCCGGGGCTCCAAGACAGTCGAAGCGTTGCTTCACTTGTCTCAGCGGTATCCTTCCATAGTGTATTAATTGCCCTGCCTTGCTCTGCTCTCCAGCTCTCCAAATCACAGACAGGACAAATGACCCTGACACTTTACGGGCATGAAATGTAACAATTGTTGCCATGAGCGACGTCATAATAAACACACGCCCCTCGGCAACCGAGACCCGGCCTGTGTGTCCTGTAGTGTTTGACAGAATTAACTGCGCAGAAACTGATGCGTTCGAGGACCGGCCCAGGATGGTACAGTAGCTCTTCTTACATAATTATATCCTTTGTTTAAAATCGGGACAGTAGTTAGTGTTTGAAAAAAACCCGTTTTGTGGTGTAAATGTAAAACAAGCTCTTGCTGTTGTAAAATAATCTTTTAAAGTCGGATTGCTGCGTCTAAACCACCATTCATAGGCCCATATTGTACTGTACAGCACATACCAAAGCTCTTGTTTCTTTTAATCTTTCTTTTTTTAAATGTAAACCGTGAGCAAACTGGAGAATCATTTTTCAGCGTTAACAGAACCGAGACCTCACAACTTGAACACTTATTTAAGGCCGGGACAGCACTTGACAAAAAATGATTTTTTTTTGCATACAGCCCCATAATTCAAATTAAAAAACAAAACGAGAACCAACGGTGCACGTATTTGCAAAAACATTACTGTAAACGTAACGGAAACGAGAAGAAATGAACACAGCAGTACCCGAATAAGTTGTACGCACATTATTGCAATAACACGATCCATCACCGAGATGCGTGTATACCAGCACCGGCCGGAGCTGTTTCGGGTTTGCAATGGCACTTTCAAGCCTGTGCAACACAAAGGGCCTGACACTGGTCTCCCAACACGAAGAGCTCGGGAGACAACTTACCCGGGATACACCACGTTTGTATTTGTTAAAGCTTTCATCCCAGTACTCATTAAAGTTCTTTATAAGAACAAGTAGTAGGTTTTTTCCATGCTGAAAAGAGAAGAAAGAAAACACAACGTTTCGGCCGTGGAGCCTTCTTCAAGCCCATAGTTTCTCATTTCACCTGTCGGACATGATTACACTGAGAGAAGGGGGGAGGTGTGAACCTAGTCTCAGAATAATTTAGGTTTCAGATGTCTTTCTGCAATAGGAGTTAAGAAACCCTACTTTGAGAATGCAGACAGAGATTGTCAGGCATGTATTTAATTGGTCAATATGCTGGATAAGTAACTACAGCACTTCACAGTGTTACTGTATAGTTTACCTTGAGTTATGATCACATTTCTTCAGATTGCGATCGCATCTGTGTGAATTAGAGATTTCTAAATGACAAGCATGGTTTCTTTATACCCAAACTAAGCTTCTTTAATAAGTATGAAGATTGTTATTATATGTGAAAACCTTTGAGCAATATTCTAAAACCTAGCTCTGTCTTGGACGATATTGCCTGACAATATGACAATATTGTCATTAACATAAGATCCTTTATACACATCGTTGAAGCTAGAAGGCTCCTTACATACTGCAAAAGACAGACCTATCATGATTAACTGACATCTTGAAACACAAATGGCTAAAAATTCACAGAATAATACTTCTGAATAAAGATGGGAGTGAACCAAGTAGATCAAAGCAAAATAACCTTTGGGATTTCGCAAAAAAAAAATGAATTCCACCCTGAAAAGCAGAAAGAGAAAAATCACCATTTAATCTTTTAAGCCTTTTTCTCAGGAGAAGATCAATCCTATAATCTGACCCTCAAAACCACAGAGGAGTTAGCCTTTTTAAGATGGGAGATATCGGCTTTCCTGGAGATCCACATGGGTGTACGATTCAAAACAGGATGTACTCTTCCACCTACTGGTAGCCCTTTGTACAGACCTGACGTCCCCAGTTCTAATACAGCTGGCATTGCTATTGATTCGTTCCCCACACACAGCAGATGGTTTATGCCACTTAAAGAAATCTGAAGGAATTATTGATAGCAATGTGGGGAGCTGCACCAGAGTACATTTGCACAACCTGAAGAAGTGTGAAGAAGGATTAAAACTTTTCTTTTTTTAGAATGGAGTTAACCTTTACTTGAGGCATGATTATATATTCAGGTAGCAAAAATATAAAATTCAGTGAAGGCTTGTAAAGGTTTAACCTGTAACAGGCTACAAGCTTAAAGGCATTACTATAGGGGATCATAAATCCACCCTTTAATCAAGCATTTTATGTGCACATCTGGTTCAAGTAATAGAAATCATTTTCATTCCTATCCCACAGAGCACACTATAGACCTGAGTGAGTTTTATGGCATGGGCATCTCAATCAGATTTCGGCATCCTCATTCATTCACTGTTTCTGTCAAGTGGTCTTCTACATTTATGATCCATACTAAGACACACCAAATTTGGTGGCGTTATTTTAATTTCTAAATTCCCCAGAACACAAATATCACTACACAATTTCTTTCATATTTGAAAAGTAGTCTTCTAAAAAAGTAGTATTTCTGCAGACCATCTCATTCCAAAGCAAGGAGACCAAATACCCGATAATGTAATAATTAATTATTAATTTAATAAAATAAAGATAAACTAGGACATTGGCTCTTCTTCTGTCTGTCTCTAAGCTCATGATAATGAGATGAACCAGATATTAAAAAACCACCCTAGAAAAAAGCAATCAAACTCATTAGTGAAAGACACCACCTTTCATCCCTTCGAATCACTGGTATATTTTTCAGACCACAATAATTAAATAAAACTACAAAAATCTACTGAAGAACTGATATTCACAAGACCCCCGTCCCCAACAGTCACAAACCTACAAAATGACTCCTAAGGTCTTGCCTGTATTGACTCAGGAAAGAAACACTAACAAAACGTTTATCCAAGTTTATTTGAATTGCAAATAAGACGTAGATCTATAAACCAGTTGTAAAAAAAGATATTTTGGGTTACAGGTGAAACTGTTGATTTAAAAAAAATCTAAACCTGCAACAGACCAGCTCAGCTGTAGAGCAAGCTGGAAAGATGCTGCCAAGTGGTGAGTGAATACTGTATTTTCTTTTACGCAAAAAAGGCTGTCAGGGAGATCAACCTGCAGAAGTAACTGTCAGGCACTACGTTTTCCAAAAGTTGGGGTTCTGAGCCATTCGTCGCTGAAAATTTTCATACCTGAAAGAAAAAGAAAAACAATTAAAGAGACAAACAGCACAAAACATTCATCATGGTAGTTAAATGGCACCTGTACAAATGCACAAATATACGTTTTGAAAGTACTGTGCATTTTCATGACTTAGCCTCTCATTATAGTGAATATTTGTGTCAGTTCTTTACTTTTTGTTATAAAGAGCACAACACAAAAAAAACACACAGCACGGCAGAAATTACCACTGAAATAACTAAGTTTACATGAAGTTTAAATGGAGACTGTCAGCTTGACATATTCAACTTCCACAACACAGGCTTCGATAGGCAAACAGGAAATATCAGCCTCTGAAAATGGTAACAGATACTTTTGCCTCTAAAGCAAAAGCTCATAGTGGTGTTTTTCCCCTCTTTTATTGGTTTTATTTAGATCTCTACATATTTACATAGAGCTGTATTTATTTGACTAAATGAGAAAATGAAATTGCAAATGAGCACAACCTAACTGAAACAAAACAAAGACTTAAAATTTAAAACAAAAAAGAAAGAATTTTAAGAATCAAGTTTCCTAAGAAGAAAAGGTAAGAAGCACCCTATTTTGAGTACAAATATCGTAGCCTATGACATTCAGCCAAGGTGTGATTATTGCTAGTTGAAACAAATATGAAGAATTCACATTTATTATTTACAATTATTAGGGCCTCCTAAGAGGATACACATAATGTAAAGAAGCTACAGTATTTCAAGTCCAGGAACACAAGGACACAACACAGAAAATGCCTGCTTGCTGTTCTGCACAGAGCGTGTGACTTCCGTTTACCATTTGAGAATCACACTTGCAGGGATGAACATCTCGGAGGGGCTGGGGGTCATCTGAGACTGCGACACAGCGTACGAAGTGGTGTAATTATACAAGCTGTCCAGCATTTTCTGCGTAAACTGCATCAAAAGAGACGGCAACAACAGTTACTGGTGGTCCACACGGGGTACGTTTCAGTCTGCATGCACGGCACACGACACGTCTGCGACTCAGACGGCGTTTCTGGCGCTCGCTGGCTTGCGTCTGTACTTGCCTGTGTATAGGAGTCCACAGTGGAGACAGCAGCACTGGCCACGGGCGTCTGCTGGGCCAGCTGCTCCAGGGGCTCTACAGAAACTCCCACCTGGGCTACAGAGGGCATCTGAGGCATCGACATCATCCCGAAGGGATGCTCTCCTCCCACACCTGCGGTACCGTAGGAAATAAAAACAATCAACAGAGGACACCAGCTCAACACCTCATATTCCGCTCGAACACACTTGGTTCTAGGATCTCTCCACCTGAGCCACAAAGATCCCTATTTTTTTTTACAATTTTTTTTCCAGGTAAAATAATTTGCATACATAATACAAGAAGATAATGACTGCACCGCTGAATACGCGATCCCTTAACCATTGTGCAAGCATGTGCTCAGAAGGATCAAGATGCCAACAAACCCATCGAGGCCAGAGCTCACACGCTCACCGGATTTCAGGCCGGAGATCTTGAATATGGCGCTGGGCTTCTCGTTGGTGATGAACCCCAGCAGCTGCCAGACCGGCACGCTGCTGGGGTCCGGGTAGGAGAAGTACACGGCCCCGCCCATGCCCGCAGGGAAAGGCACCGTGCCCAGCATGAACACCACCACGTGGTTCACGCTCTCGTAGTCGGGCAGGTGGAAGACGAACTTGTCACTGGCCACCTGCTCCGCATCTGTCTGCACCTGGAACAGGTTCACAGGGCGCTCCGTCACGTAAGAGACAGGACGTTCAGAGGAAGGCACTTCCTTACCGCAGAACCAAACAAGGGTTATGGCTATCAATGCCTCACGGCTATGACTATTAAATCTACTGAAGTTCTGTTAGACGTGTAGAGGAGTGACCTAAAAGAAGGAAGTTTTTTTTTTTTAAGCTAAACGCCACAGTGGGAAGAAGGAATGCCCTTTAAGCATTTCATGTAGGAGTGAAGGATTTTGTAAGTTTTTAATTTTACATGAAAAATTTTTAGGTGTCCGATATTATTGTGCATCATCTTGCCGTTGTTTCGGGCGGCAGCTGTGGGCGTTTTTAGCAGCGTGTCCTGGACACGGATTCAACAGCGGCTCAGGCACCGGCCAGGAAAGGGAGCATCAAAATGATCTGATGTCTAAGCACAGCCTCTCCACAGCGGCTGTCTTGTGCCCCAACACCGTGGCAGAGACAATCCAACTTTTCGTGTGAAAATGTAAAAACATTTGAGCACGATTCCAACCGAGCACGTATCGGTAGAAAAACGAATTGTACAATGTCCAATAATGCCACAGCAATTTTCACTATAAACCCAAATATTAATTATTGAAACATAAGCAAACATTGAATAAAGACCTGCGTGTAGGCAAACGCCTACAGGAGAGATTACAATTCCACCAAACACGTTGTAAAGAGTGAAGAACCATTACTTTAACAGCACTAAAAGCACTATACTATGGGGGTTAAGCAAAAGCAATAAGGGTCATGGTGAGACAGTGTCACAAAATAAAAAAAAAAGACAGGCGTTTTTAAATCGTACCAAGAAGCAGCTTAAATTTCGTGTACTTACCAATCTACCTGCTACTAAACATCCAAACATTTCTGTAACTAGATCCTTTTCACCGTTTCGTGCATTTCACACTCTAATCTTTCATGAATTCACAGTCGGCTTCATGATAACAGTTGCATTACCATACACACACTTTTTCGCCCGATGAACTGCACTTGAGAAACTTCTAGAGCACAGCAGCAGGGAAATCAGCTCTCCAGACAGAGCGGCGGCGCTGCAGCGGGACGTGAACTCTCACCTTTGCACTCTGACCCAGGAAGCAAAACAACGCTATTGTGTCCGAGGAAGCGCCTTTGCTTTCCCAAAAAACACGGAGAATGTCAATCGTCGTGATCGCTGTCACATGCTTTGAAACATTTGTGGCACAACCAGTAAGATCTTTTTGACGTGAAAAATAAAGATCATCTTATGTAGATCTTTTCCTCCACGCAAGGAGTTCAGTGCTACAGAGAGCAGCCAGGAGAAACAGTGACGTGGTGTCGATAAAGTTTTCAGGTTTCAGACACGCAAGAAAGAAAAAAACTAACATTATGTAGCGGAGTTCACTACAGACTAAGACGGTTTTCGGAAAAATGCTTTGTGTTTCGCGAACGAAAGCGATGCACCGACTGCACACAACTAAATAGTTCCCTGCCCGTTTCTTATATGTATATATTTACCATCAAACCATACTGAAATTCCATTTCAACAGGATGTGCATAAATATTGTAACGCTTACGGCCGACAGGCACTGTGTAAGAGCCGGCGTACCAGAGCAGGTGATGTCACCGCCCTTCCCTGTGATAGCAGGACTACAGCTACTGGGCTGTGGTGAGATCTCTCTTTAGCTCACGGGGCTAGGTCGCTGCAGAGAGACGCTGGAGTCCCGGGTTCGAGCCCCAGACGGTGGGGGGCCGACCTAATGCGGCAAGGGCGCCCGCCTGAGCCTCCGTTGCGTTAAAATATTAACATTCAATTAAAATATAAGGTATTTGATCTGGCCGTTTTCCATTTTTTTCCAAGAGATTTTGTGAATGAACTTATTTTTTCCCCAATTAATATTTCTGTACTCAATTTTGCTTCTGGCTATTAATATAAATACATCTACAGAATCAATGCATGCGAGTATTATGTCGTCTCTAGTATTTTAATGTGCAGGCTTGTCTGTCCTATACACTGCTCCGTATCTTGGGGGGGGGGGCTTCATCTTTCTTACTAGCCTTATTGGAATTGCCGGGCAAGAGGGGTTACAAGCTTCTGATAAACCCCTCTACAGCCCAGTAGGCACCTGTGAGATGAACAGCCCCCAGCTAACTGGAGGCTCGTATCTTCCAGGCTCAGGATTCTGGCGATTTCCTCCACCTGGATATTGAGGCTCATGTAACCAACTCTTTACATTAAAAAATTGCAAAAACCGAGCAGGACGATCAGCAAGGCAGGAGAATTTGATTCCTCTTTGGTGAAATAAAACCTGCCAGTTTTCTCTTCTAGTCGAGGAAAGAATGGTTTTCAGGTGTGGAATTTCTCCTTTTTACATCCGCCTGGCCGTTTGTCTCTTTTGCTCATAGATGCATTCTTGTACAAGGACTGAAGGATGGGTTCTTTTTACCTCCATTTAGTTTGATCCAATTTTATAAAGACGTTTTCCCTGTACGTTTGTGTTACGCCTACATCAGTGTTGTTCAGTGTTAGTCATTGTGTTGAAGGCTGCAGGGAGTGGTTTGAGCTCTAGAACTCATACCAGCTCTTTATAGAGGTCTAAAAATATTGTGTGAAGTTTTAAAGACACTCCACCTCTAAATGTTCACATAAAATTAATGAAGTCAGGTGGACTTGCTATTCTCCAATGGATGTGCTTTAACATTCACAATATCCAAAATGAACGGAGGTGAAATATTGGCCCCATGCAAGTTTTAACTTTGATTTAAATAGTTTTTAAATGACCAAACACTCTAAACAGCATTGCCATCTATACAAGGCAAGCATTGCATTTCAGCTTTCTTTATGTGTTAAAATTTCACTTTGATATTAATTTCATACATTTGTGAGAGCAAAACTGTGCACAGTGGGATTGTTGAAAGCAGTGCATGCCTGCATATTTAACTGCATTATCCACCCCTACCACAAACACTCTAAACAAAACAAAAAAACAAAAAGTGACTCAGTAAAAACAAATCTCACTACTGCTTCAGTTCCTCCACTAAGGAGACCTTCAGATAAAAAAAAAATAGGGATTAGAAAAATAAAAATTTATTAAAGGCAACAAGGAACAAGAAACACAAGAAATGAAAAGGACAAGGGAGTTAAAAAGACCTCAGAGGCCTGGGATAGGAGGGCAGCTGCCCACCGAAACCTTCACAAGCCAACACTACTGAAGGGCAGCAGGTCGGCGTGGGCACGCGACTGGGCAAGCCGATCAGCGCAAGCGATCCCAGCGCCAGATGGAGGCGTCGTCGCACACCGCGATCAGGATGCTGCTGTCGCGGCTGAAGCTGGTCTGGCGGATAGCAGCGTTGCACTTCGGGTGCGTCAGGGTGGTGCATCTGGAAAACAGCGAAGGATGAGTCAGCCCTGTTCTGGAGGGGCGGTACTGAAACACCATGCCTACAACACAGACGACTAATACCCGGCTTCTGTTCTCAAGGCACTCAGAATGACATGACCTGCTTCAAATCTTTATCAACAAACACAGAGCCAAGCCGGGGATATCAAAGCCTTCTCCACAGACACGCTCAACAAAGGCTTTCCATACACGGCTGGTGCATATTGTTACTCCCTTTCTTTACAGTTTAACTAAATCAAACAAATCAATTAAATCAACCAACATATTGAACACTGATTCCAAACTATAAAAACACGATTCAAAGAGTGTGACATTATACTGTTTTAAAACAGTCACATTTCAATTAGCATAGTTATTGAGAAAAAAAAGATTTCAGTTAATGCATGTCAAAGTCTGTCCTAGAGCATTCAAGAGAAGAAAGCCCAGTTTGTACTATTTTGATTTAGCTGTTACTGTTGATGTAATCTGAGAGGATGAAACAGAAGTTATTCAAATTGCAATTCCTTATTCTGATGCACAGAAGAAGTAAATCCTAATTAAACTAGAAGACCAAGAGCACAACTTTTTTAGAAACTGCAATTAACTGCGGAAGATAATGTCATTCCTAACACACAATCAATGCAATGCATCATTTCAGTACTTTGTGTATTCACATAGTATATGAAGCAATTCATAAGTCTCTTTACTTTGCTTTATGAGGGTCTTCCACTTCCAGGTCCCACACATAGAGTTTCCCAACCTGATTGCCCAAAGCCAGCATCTGCCAAGGAAAAACAACACTGGAGATGGTACTACACACAGCAAGCTGAGCAAAATAAAACGTGGGCTTACACTTTATGATTATCCAGCACTCTTGCGAAACTGTAAAGAAAGATTCTCTACCTTCTGCCAAAAGTCCATAGAGAAACGCATGTACCAGATGTCACACTGGCTGTAGTCAAAGCGCCCCAGAATGGTGACATTGGATTCGTTAGCTCTGATCCTGTCAATGTCATCTTCCATCTTTCCTGGCTTCCAGCACACGATGGCATTTTCACATGACTACAGAGAGGAGCAGGCAAGGACTGAGACACTGTAGCACAGGTTAACAATTGTAAAGAGTTCAGCTTGGCTCCTATGCCTGAGTTCAGACCTAACAGGACATCAATGCATTGTCGTCTGTAATACCAGGTACAAACTATGGTCGATGTTTGTGCCTGTTAGTGTTTTCTCCAGTGCCGTCCACTAGTCCCATCTCACAAATACGTAAAATTGAGACAATACACACACCACAAGCATAAAATAAACACAAGTCATTAGAGATCACCTTAGTTTCATGAGCACACAATTAGGTCATAGATGTTACCACATACACACAAGCAACTGTTAACACCTTTGATGCTCACCTTAGACAGTATTAGGTCTCCCAGCCATCGTACACAGTCAACGTAATTCCTATGAATGTCTCGTGTGGAGAAATCGGGGAAATGGATCTTCTGGGAGACAAAAGGCCTTTCCCCAAAGAAAAAAATAATATTGTTAAAGCCTAAATTTAAAACTGTCAGGAAGCAAGAACAATGTTTTGACTTTTCCTCATGAGAAGCGCAAGTTCTGTCCAACAGAAAATGAATGAGATTACCTGTTGGTTTTGCTGGGGTTGTATTCATAAGAGCCCCGAATGGCTTTCTGCATCCTCTCCGAGTTAATCCTCCACAGCTTGAGAGAGTGGTCCATACCGCATGACATGATCTTCTCCCCCAAGAGATCAAAATCCTGATTACAGAGAAACTTTAATTTACTCTATGCAGAATGCTACAGCAGCTCCAAAGTCATTCTGAAAAAAGGTAATGACACAATCACATTGGATGTCTTGTTTCACCTTCCACCCACCACAACAAATCAAGGAAAAAGCCACTTCCTTTATTAATCCAGTCGTGTTAGCCTGAAACTCCTAGGAATATTTTATCACCTGACGATGTCTCTTACTGAGTCCTGAAGCACATACTTACCGCACTGAGGACTTCATCGCGGTGACCCTCAACTCCCCCAAATATGGCAACCAGGGTATCTGTCTGGATGTTCCACAGCCTGAGAGCGTGATCTGCCAGGAGAACACAACTCCTGAACACCCAGCGTTCAGCAGCACCAGTCGAACTGTAATCTCTTTCCTTCCTTTCATTTTAAGCCCTGTCTCTTCGTCTTCTGGCTGAATCGTGCACGTACAGTTCGTGTTTGATACTAAGCAGCAGACTATGATAGAATCAGCTCTCTTTCATTTCTGTTATTTTCCATATTCAACAGCTGCAACATGTTGAATTTCTACTGCACGGCATATAGTATGTTTTGGATACCTTTTGGAAAAAGACTACGCCTCAAAATCTTTCAGATGCAGGCAGGACAGACAATTTTACCTTTACTGACGGACAACAGGAGGTTCGGGTCTCGAGGGTGAAATTTCAGCTCATTGATTGCATTCCCGTGTCCCACGTAGTGCTGCAAAAAGGGAAAGAGATCACTACATTTAGGTTTGCTGCTTCAAGTAAAGTTTAGGAGCAACATCCGAGAAAGGCTCCTGGCAGAAAGCTGTACAGCAGAACCCAGGGTGCAGTGTCAATCAGTTGTGCACTGCAAAGCAATTCCTAAAGATCATCATCCTCATATAATGGCAAATTGCCCTTGAGGCTAAAGCAGTACTGAGCAGTTTAAGGGGCAGGTTTACAACATAAAGGCTTTGTAACTAATTTAAATGGAACAAAGAATTGCTTAAAAACACTGAATATATGAAATTCAATACAATAATCTTACTTTTGCGTCATTTGTCAACAGACCGTCAATTTTGGGCTTGGTTTTCCCAGAAACTTAAAGGTGAACATTGGTTATGTGATGACATCCTGCTAACCTAGGCTTAGGACTTGTAGACCGTACCATATGTGTAAAACAAACTTCCACATCTGTGGCACGCGATTTCAGAGGCACATCCTGCTTGCTTGGATCTGAGCAAACAGCTGGTCTGAGCCCATTCCACCACAAATTTAGAGAGTTTTAGATATATAAGTGAAAACGCGGACTTGTACAGCAGGCTGAGGACTGAAAGGCACGCTCCAGACTGGAGACAAAACACAACCCTTCATCTCATCCCAAAGGAGAAGCCACGCTCTGCCTCGTGTGGTGTAAAGGCTGAGCGAGCTCGCTGCGGGGACGGCCGACGCCCACCTTGATGCACTGCATGGTGATGTGATTGATGACGCGGATGATGCCCCTTGACCCCGCCACCGCAAGAAGGGGGTGACTCGTGCTGCTGTCGAACGTCCAGGCGCACGTGTAGAAATTCTCATCAGCCTGGTCGGCACCGCAGGTTAAGGACCCAAGCGCTCATGCTTAACGGGCACCCTTGTGATTAGCATCGCCCACCCTCCCCCCCCGGCCGTTTTTAATCAAGTCTCTTCGATTCTGACACAAAAGGGGGGATTCACCTTTTTTTCCCCCCGAGGAGCTGCTGGTTGTTGGTCTGTTTTAACCTGAAGACAAAGCAATCCCCCCCCCAAAAAAAACGCATTTGTTTTAGAAGAAGATCTAGCGCCAGGCACTGCTGCAGGAACGCAGATTTGACAGCAGAGGAAGCTTTAGAGCCGCCCTGGTCCTGTCTGCTCACCACTGCCGAGAGCGTGGAGGCAGGACCAGAGGCTGCCGAGGAACCAGAGGCTCAGATCTCTTCAGTCCCCACACTTCTCTGAGTCACCAGCTCCACACAAGCTCTCCTGCCACTGGACGTAGGACTTCAATGTCAGCCCCAGGTGACAAGGGAAAGGATACATCAGCATCCACGTAGGACTGAAGCAGGCGGATCTCTCCTTGGGAATGGCATTCATACAGAGTTACCTGCAGAAAAAAACAAAAGCTCCACCTTACATTTACAGTGGACGTTAAACTGCTTCTCTTTTAACAGGTAAAAGTTTATTCCATGCTGAAAGGAAAAGAAAAGAGAATGTTTCAACTGTGAAACCTTCTTTTAACTTATACAAGCTATTTGTTGACTTTTTGTTACTGGTAGGTAAACACAGCCAATATATTTATAGAGTGAAAACAGTCCCCGAGCTGAGTCATCTGCTTAATCACAGCTTTCACCGCAACTTCATACTAATTTGAATTATACTTGTTTGGTTGACATTGAAAAGCACTGCAGTATAAGATCACTTTACTGGCCATATACAATTTCTTGTATTAGGAATTTGTACCCGAACTTGCCCTCTATGAGACACACAAACAGGGAGAGAAGCTTGGGGTCAGAGTGCAGGGTCAGCCTTTTATACAGCACCCCTGGAGCAGTTGGGGTTAAGGGCCTTGCTCAGGGGCCCAACGGAGTAGGATTTCTCTGCCGGCCCCAGGATACGAACCAGCAACCTTCCAGCCACAGGCGCAGATCCTTAGCCATAGAGCCACCACACTGCCCCGTATGTTGATCACACCAGTTAATAATTCAGATCCTTATTCAGACCCTAGAAATATTCCCCACCAGCTTAAACATACTGTAACCATAGCCATGAAAGTGTCCTGCTGTTTGCACAGGTAACATAACTGGTGCAGGTACTTACCCTGTTGCTTCCCACTGTAGCGAAGACCAGGGGGTCTCCCTCCTTACTGTGCCAGTTAAACTGCACCCCAAACAGAGGCTGCCCATGGTCCTCCTGCGATTCAAAGCAATGACACCATGAGGCGGGAGAGACAAGTGAAGACCAGCTCTCCGAATCAGGCAGACCACAGACTGGTGGCTCCTTTTATTCCGCCATTGTCAATTATCCTACTGCTCTCATTCTCAAGTGCCTTCCACCAGGAAAGCATGCATAATGGAAAGATGCTTGCTTGGTTATTCACATTCTGCACATTTTAAATATGTCCATTAAGCATCCCCTTTGCACTGCAGGCATTAAAAATTACAGTTTAGGGGAATTGTGAAAGCACAGCTCCATGTCACGTTCCAAAACACCAAGTGCATGTCGAACCTCTCTGAACTGTTAATACTATTAGTCCTGACACTTATATAGAACTTTTCTGGACACTCCACTTAAAGCTCTTTACACCCCAGCTCTCAGTGGGCAGGAGAGCAGAGTGATGAAGCCAGTTCAGAGATGGGGATTATTAGGAGGCCATGATTGGTAAAGGCCTGGGGGAAATGTATCTAGGACAAAAGGATTAACACCCCTACTCTTTTCGGGAAACGCCCTGGGATTTTTAATGACCACAGAGGTTCGGGACCTCGGTTTTCGTTTCATCCGAAGGACGGATTCTGTAACCCGTCTTTGATCAGGAAAAGACCAGTCCTCCTACTTCATACACTCACAAGCTAGTTCAGCACACTCCTGTGGCTACACTCACCTTGAGGCTGTTGACGCACTTGAAGGAGTATTTACACTTCTTGGATTTCCACTTGCCCTTGCCCCAGCTCTTCCTGCCGGGGGCGTTGGGCGTGTTGGTGGGGGTGTCTGGGCGCTCGGTGTTGGTCCCACTCTCTATACTGATGGCATCGTCCTGCAACACAGACAGCACAGAGTGGCAGCGTCTTCCTTGGGGCACTTTCAGCCACACATCCAGCGTGGCACACTGATCATTTTAATGCCATGGAGTGGAAAAAAAATAAAACCAAATAAATAAAACCAAATCTGCAAGGGAGATTTGAGACTGATAACCCTCAGAAGACTGACTGTTGATCCTCACATTTAACTGCATTGTAATTTATGGGACTCTGCATACAATGGGACACTTTGAGACAGGGAGAGATTCCGAAAGCTGACTGGAAATTGAACTAAAAATGTACATTCAGCTTTGTAACCTGGGATGAAAACTGGTCTGTAATGCCCAAATTCAGGAAATGTGAAATCCCGATCGGCTGCTCCCTATTCCTGCCAAAAGACAGACTGAAAAGCTGAACAATTTCACTGATTTGTCTGATTGGTATTACACATGGCAAAGATGAGCGAGTTTACAAATTAACAAAGTTTAGTTTAAGAACAGGGTTAAAATCCTGCCCGGCTTCAAAGTCAACAGGAAGTCACTTGACCACCTTGTATTTATTTCAACCAAACGAGTGATTGATTCTTCTATTGCAGCACGCTAGAGAAACCTCATTCAGTACATTTTAAGTATGTTTTCCATTGATGCAATGGCAAACAAATACTCTAATCCAACCGGGTGTCGACCATTACATTAAAAAACGATGAAATATTCTAGAAAATATAATCCCAGTACCCATTTTAATACTCTTGCACCTCAATAAGGGCGACTAGGTCTGAAGAAATTTCCAGCTCCCAGCACAAAAGCCACACTCAAATCCTGAATTAACCGTGTATGTTGATAAAATAAACAGCAATCATGTGATTTTTTTCGTACCCTGAGTTTGAAAACTCATCGGAATTTTCCGGGCCATTTTCAAGGCTGTTCTATGTAAAGAAAGACGATAACGTCCTACAAGCTTATTCAACGTGCGGCTCCTTAACCTGTCTCTTCAACAGGAAGACCCTGCATTCACCCGTTCCTTGCTTTAAAATGCTACACATTTTCTAACACTGAAAACATCCGTCTTCTTTTTGAAGACCGTAACAGCTAAAAACGACACGAAATCCTCTATCACACGTACGGCTGAATGAAAACAGCACGTTAGCCCGACAACTGAATGCACAGTCTCCTTCTCAGACTGTCAATGATGTCTCCGGGGAGCTCTGTCTCTACTGAGCGTCTCGCCATCTCGGCAGTGAGCGGTTCGTTTTGGTGACGTGTTTTAGAGACGAGTGATAAATTCTGTAGCGCTGCTGCAGTAAAGGTGTCCTTCACCCTTCAATTGACTGTTTCTTAAAACAACCGAAACGAAGTACTACAAAGAAAAAACACACACAAAACAAATGGTATTTTAAGCCACCGGTTTAAACGGTATTGGCATTGAAAAGCATTTTGAAGAAGGTCTGAAGTAACGAGGGTTTCGGCACGTTAACTGCTTTCTGACGACCTGTTTAGCAGGATTGTAACGTTATTTTCCAGGAGTGGTGACCGACCGCACGGGGAGACAACGGGCACCTTGAGGCTGGGCACCGCGAATCTCCCCTGTATCTCGCGTTAGAAGAAAAAAAACACATCGAACTAATATAAATAAGTTTGATCTGACGAGAAACATGAAACCCCCCAAAAAATATCAAATTTAGAGAATAAGAGCGCCGAACGAAGACAACTAGGAGCTTGTGTCTGCGGCCGCACGACGAACAGAATATTCCTGATGGAAATACCGTTCCGTTTCTACATCGCCGGGCAAAAATATAATTTCGTGCCAGTAGTAGCCAGCTCTGAACCGAGACTACAGCAGCAGCTGTAACGCCGCCAGCGCGGGTGAGCGGCTCACGCTGTTGCACAGAGATCGGGGCCTCTGCTGTGGTTCAGCAGTCACCCATTTTTACACCCAACTTTTTAGTCTAAAATCGAGACACGGGCGTCAAGGGGAACCTCACGCCGCCCGCATCCCCGACGCTGGAAGTCACCGCTCTCTCTAGAAGCGCTCAGCTCGGCCTTACGTTTTCATCCCCCGAAAGATCGGGGTTGCTGTTCTCGTCGCTGCTCAGTTTCTGCTTTTTCGACGGCATCTCGTTTCCCGCCTCGGCTTGGCTCTCAGACATCTTCCTTCATCTTCCTCTTCCTCTTCCTCTTCCTCCACTTCCCCCTCCCACCCCCCCCAGCGCGAGGCCACACCGCCGCAAACCGTTCGGCTCGAGCTGCAGACGCGCGCTGGAAATGGCCGAATCGCCGCGGCTCCTGCCCGGAAAACTGCAGGCACGCGCGCGCTCCTGGGGAGGGTGGTCGCTGGCGCGTGACGTCATAACCCCTCGCCGCCGCCGAGCGGAACGCGCGAGCCTACAGGGTTTTAAGGAATGTCCATCTTGACCTGCTGTTTTTTTTTTTTAAATCTGACCATTATTATATTTTTAACCTGTGTAGTCCCAACAATAAATGGGATACAGCCCGCCCAGTATGTCTGAACCAGAACAGACCACTTATCCAACAGATTTGCCACACTCCCGTAAAGTGATCATAACTGTCGCACTTTCCCCTCGGTTCCACGTTAGTGATATTAAAATGATTACTGCTACGTGACCCAAACTCTGTGCCTTTTCCTATTGATACACTTAAGAACATCAAGGCTTTATCACTATGAAATTCACACACGTGAGGGACGGTGACGTGCTGTAGATTTATTTTTATTTTCCGATAATTCTTTAAAATGAGAAACAAATTTACAGGATTCGCTGTACCGTTCAGGTGTGCGACACGATAGCTGTGGTACTCGAAAGAGTCGCGGGGAAAAGGGAGGCAGATAGATTTTCGATTTATTTTAGTATTTGTGATGTATCGCACCCAGATTAGTTGTTCTGTTTTAATTTGCCGTGTAAATGTTTTAAGGGGCACGTATTGTGTGGCAAGGACAGACAGCCGACAACATAATTTGTAATGTGTTTAGCGCCTCTCGGCAAATATGTACATAATTGCGTGTGCAGTGGTTGTATGCCTTGTGGAAAAAAAGTCAAGGAGCGCCACTGTGTCTGATATCTGATAAGCAGTTCGAGGCTTTACAGTTGTGAGAAAAAGTTTGTGAACCCTTAGGAATTATCTGGATTTCTGCATGAATGGCTCCTAAAATGAGATCTGGTCTTCATCTAATATTTTTTTTTATTTATTTGTCTTATTTAACAACACACACAACATTTTACTTTGTCATATCTTCATCGAACAAATGGTTTAAACAATCAAGGTCATTATGTACAGCATATATCGAGAGCTTGTTCAATTTTGGTTGATACACTGTCAAAATAAAATATGACCATTCGGGGTAAAATAAGAAAAAACAGCGTGAAAAAAGATATTTTTTCTTAAGAACATGGTTAAAAAACAATCCAGCAACAATTGAATTGCGAAAAGTACAAGTAATAGGTTTAAGCAAAAACTTATGTTTATTCCATGCTGAAAAGAAAAAGAAAACTCAAAGCTTTTTACAGGTAATGGGGATCCCCTCCACCACCACCAGTGTGCAGCCCCACCTGGATGATAATAATAATTGCTTACACTTATATAGCGCTTTTCTGGACACTCCGCTCAAAGCACTTTACAGGTAATGGGGACTCCCCTCCACCACCACCAATGTGCAGCCCCACCTGGATGATGCGACGGCAGCCATAGTGCGCCAGAACACTCACCACACATCAGCTCTCAGTGGGGAGAAGAGCAGAGTAATGAAGCCAATTTACAGAGGGGGATTGTTAGGAGGCCATGATTGGTGAGGGCTGGGAAGTTCATGGTCTTCTGGGAAAACTGGCCCTGGTGTGATTGGTGGGATTTGACCCTGAACGGGTTGCAGTTCGAAAACAGAACAATTTGAGGAAAAGGCAGCCAGGTCAAATTGATCTTATTTTGCAGTCAGTTAGGGGTTCAGTTGTGTAGCCAAGAGCTGAGCTGGGACACAACCAGCAGGACCAGGACCGGGAATGTCTGACAGAAAAAAGAGCAGTCTGCCGATGTTCATGTCATGCCCATTTCTCCCTCTTGTGATTACACTTTCAGGTTAGAATTACAGTACATTTCAAACAAACAGTAATTCCAAATGTGAAGATCATTTAGAGAGCCAGTCATTTAATTGCTTACTTCTGTGTATATAATGTGCAGTTAGTGACTAGGTTTATGTTCTTAATTGGTTAAAATGTACAATTTTCTTGGATTGTCAAGTGATTGTAGTTTGTATATATTATTCCCTGAATCTGTTTGTCCACTGTGCATTTGCTTCATCTGGGATAAATCAAATGATTGCAGATGACAACTCACACAGAATAGTTTGAGAACAATAAGGATATTGACAGCTGTATTTTGAGAAACGGCCACCTAGTGGCGTTGTTCTCTTGCCCTTGAATAGCACCGTGAAATAATATCGTCAAAACTGTGCTCAACCAGAATAGTGCTTCATCATTAATCCTGTCAATAATGTCAGGAAAAAAAATTCCACCTCAGAAGCAAGTGTGATTTCTCAAAAGAGAAGGTAATTCATATAGAATAAGTATTGCTGAAAATATTCTCTGCCATCATAGCTTTCAGAATCAGGCTCTTCTGATCTTGTTCTGCCACCTATTTGGTAGTAGAAGGGGATTTTTTAATTGTGTTCTCGATTCTCAAACTATCATCATTCTTTAAAACTCTCTTTTATTGTCATTTCTTAAAGGTCTTAAAATAAAGTTTTGAGTGATCCAGAGATTTACAGTGCTGGTTTCTGAAAGATCCTGCTGTCGGTTCCCTAGGTTTAATCCTGCCTCATGCACAAATGTAGTTGTCCCGGCTAACAAATGTGGCTGCTGCCTATTGCTTTTAAATTGTGTTTGAAACTAATGTGCGAATTAGTTTCACATCTCAAGAACGTTTCATTTTAACACCCTTCTAGTAATGCCAGAAGTGTTATCTCTAAAAAAAAACCCAATCGAAACTGTCACATTAATTCTACTATCTTTACATCTGCTGGTGATAAGTGAATACATGTCCAACTTGAAATACATTTTATCTGCTACCTTTGAAATTTAAATGTTAACCCCACTTAGTTTCCCTCCCTTATCCCTGAACCCCCAATGTTGTAGATGTATTTAGCAGAATGTCTGAGCTACTTAAATAGCACTTTTCTGGACACTCCACTCAAAGCGCTTTACAGGTAATGGGGAATGAATGATGCACCAGTACACTCTCCACACACCAGCTCTCAGTGTGGAGGAGAACAGAGTGATGAAGCCAGTTCAGAGATGGGGATTATTAGGAGGCCATTAGTGGTAAAGTCCAATGGGTAATTTGGCCAGGATGCCGGGGTAACACCCCTACTGTTTTCAAGAAACACCCTGGGATTTTTAATGACCACAGAGTCAGGACCTTGGTTTTACGTCTCATCCAAAGGACCTTAACCTTAAGACACAGAATTTACAAATCAGGAGTGATAAGGGAATGCGTTCTCTACTGAGAGCCCTGATAGGCTCTAGCCTTAGTCAATACTGCATGCACCACACAAATGCATACGATTGAAAATTCTGTAAGCCAAAATTCACCCAGACCTCGAGTCAGCAGCTGGTAGATACAAGCAAGTGTCAGCAACCTCAGTCACAGAGGTTGATTGTGCTGTGGACAGCACAAACCACGAGTACAAACTGCCCTATGGAACTCTTATTACATATTTCCATTAAGTGCTTAAAGGACAATCAGACAACCTTCTTTTTTGATGTAGGTGTGAGGCAGAAGAACTGTTTTTAGAATCAACTTCACCCTTGAAAAAGGCTCAACAGCTGAAATGTTTGAATTTCTTTCTATGTTTCAGCATGGAAGGACTCTTTACTCATTTCTTTGCAGGCAACGCACACTGATGCAGCTCCTTACTTGAACCTGTTTCCCCCCAGCATCCTTGATGTTTTACAGTGTCCTGCTCTCATGCAGGAATCTACCGTTTGGCTGGGAGGTACTACAATAATCGTAGACTTACTGTCTGTTTCTTTCTTTGTGCTGAAACACATGAAACACTATCATTTTTCTGGTGCACCAAAGGTTCTCTTTTGTTCCATTTATGCAAACACCCATGTAAATGGCACATAAACACTCTGGGGAAACTGATCTCTGAGGGACCTCTTACTTTGAAAAAAAAGAGGTAAAATAGTGTATTTGCAATAAGGACATTTTATGATTCCCTGAAGGAAGCCTGTTTATCTAGAACAGAAAACAGAAAAAAAACAGAAATAATAATAATGATGATGGAAAGTATAGACCACAACCTACACAAAATGTCTGTTCTAATGTTTACGGACTTGACATGACCTTTAAAATATTGTACCAGGAAGTATTTTATCAAAATCTTCTATCTTGCTCTCTAATCAAATACACTGTGTACACAAAGGTGTACTGAGTGTTTTAAAAAAATCTTAAAACAGTTTGACATCAGCTCTGTACTGCATTCTTCCATCTAATAACTTCAGGAAAAGTGACATTCCTTCATCGTCAAACTGCAAAGGAGTTGTCAGACTGCGCAAAGCTATTCAGCTCCAGATTGTTCCAAATCAAGCGTTGCATGTCAAAAGCTAAAATGGTTATGAGCTTTTTTTTTCACTTGTTCCTAATGTTGTTGCACTTACTTTAACACAAGCAATTGCTGTATATGCATAGCATCAAAAGCTATCTATACTGTATAAGCATTTGCTGTATGTGAGCATCAAATTAAATGCATTGCTCGTATCGGCAACAACTTCACTAAGTTATCAGGAAAATGACAAAGCTGGTTTTGTAGCAGGTGCACAGAGTTCTTATCGTACTTACAGGCCACAGCAGCTTCATTATACTGACTGACATTTGTCATCAGCGGATGGTTCACAGGGGTTCTACACAGGCTAGTGACACTTGGGGCTGCCACTGGGAGCACTGCACATTGTACCTATGTACATGACACAAGCTTTCAACCAAGTTTCAGATGCGAGGTTGTCGCGATTTGCCCCCTTCCTCTCAGAGAGCCCAGACAAACCCGGGCCTGTTCACTGGTCTCTGAGCGCCGGATTCCACACGTCTTCCCAGCTCATTCCCTCACCTGGGCTTCAGGCCTGACAGCAGGGGCATCCGTGGCGTAAATACCTCTCCGTCCTCTAACCGCTACGCCGGGCCCAAGGATGGAAAAAAGGGCGTGGCCCAGATTAATCTCACCAGCGGTAGAGATTCTGGAGTTTATTGGATGAGGGGATGGTAATAA